AGCTCTGCATGCCCATATTTTAACTTGGACACAAGTGGAACAGTAATGGATTGAATTATTTCATCCTGGCTGTTGTTCGCTGACGACAGCCATGACCTTTTCTAGATATTGTTCCAAAATACATCTGTATTCTGTGCAATACTATGTGACTTCAAAGTATTACTGCCTCTTACTAAGATTTCCTAGCCTTTCCTCAGGTACCATTTATCCTCTATTTTAGAGCTGGCCTTTAAAAAATACTTTAGTTAAGGTAGTCCAACATCTTTAATAATAAAACCTGCTTTTTCAAGAAAGCATGGCACAATAGGAAGTTTCTGTTCCATGGAAAGGAATATTAGGATCCCAAACAAAAATTTTAATGATTATGTCATACTTGCTGGTAAGTTTTGCAGAATATCAGTGTAATAAATATAAAAATTAAAAAGAAATGTGCTGTATTTTCTACGACATCCTGTAAAAGTAACAATTCTAATTTTACACCAGTCCCTTTTAAGTGTTCTAAAATACATGAACACCCTACATTATTATATTTATATATAAATATAAAATAATAATTAACTAAATAAGAAGTCTCCAAACAGAGTAAGGTATCTCCAGAGATGTCTTTGATGCCTATCATTTTTATGTAAAGGGATGGTTTACAAAATAACTGCTACTTCACTTTGAAACAACAACTAATGAAGTTTACTTAGCTCAAATAAAAACTGTGGTGTTCAACAGGATTGTAGTCTCTCCACTACAGGGTAAACAGCAGCACTACAATACATTACTGAAACGAGTCATGACCTCTCTGAGGAAGATAAAATTCTTGGATTATTTTATTTTTACTTAGTTGCTAAGCTTCTATTTTTTAAGCCTTGACATGGAGCAAGCTGGCTACTCTACACTTAGCCTCTGGTACTACATTTCCCTTTATAAAGTAGATATTACACAGAACTAAAACTCTTTTCCTCAGGAGACAGAAAAGCAATGACAAGTGGATGCCAAAAGCATAGGCATAATCTGAAAGTTATAACTAACCCTTGTGAATGATCTGAACAGAATCCTCCCAATGTAGAGAAGACTCTTGGGCAGAGGGTGCTTTCCAACACCAGCTCTGCCTTCTATATTCCTCACTTGAAAAAAGACCTTAATCAGGAAGATAAACAGTGCATGTCACTGGCCTCAAGTCACATTCAGCCTAGGGTTTGTGGATGAGCCAAAGCCTGCTCCAATACAACTGCAAAAGGCAATTAAGAACAATTTCACACACAGAGCTCAAATTTGCCATACAAGAAACTCTACTTCTGATAGCAAAAATAATTAGTCAAGAAAGTTTTAGCATCATTAGCCATTGTTACATGATCTCTGAGCAATTCACATTAACTTTTATCTAGCAAAATTATCCCACTTCTAAAAGCAGACCTGGACCAAAAAAATGCTAAGTGAATCAGACAAGATGTCTCTAAGGGTGCAGAGAATCAAATGTAGACTTGCTGGATACCAAATTAGCCTCACAATTCCTCTAGCTCCTAAAGTGAACACACTATAGCAGCATGCTAAGGGGAATTCTGCCACATTGTTTGAGGATCTAGAGTTCAAGCTCTCTGTACCTGTAGGCACAAGAATAATAACAAACTCCCCAAAGACAGGCCAGGGCAGAAAAGCTGAGGTGGCCTCTAGCCAGTTTTGTTAAATTCTTTTCTTTCTTTTATCAGTAAGCAGTTACTTATTTGCAATGTGACACCTATAAAAGAGGAAGAAAAAGAAACATGTCTGCATCTTTTCACAATCTTAAAAAAACCCAGAACAGAATGATGCATAACAGTGCAAAGAAATCAGGGCTACAATAATTGTCTGTGCACTGAATAGTTTCCCAAGAACACTGCACCTCTTTCAGCAGCCTATTTTATTTCTTTCTCGTCTATATGCCTTTGCTGTTTTGTTGGAGTTGACACCCATATATTACATTTCAGGGAAGGACAATAAATATCACATATCTCTGTTTCTACTGCTGCCCACTAGGCACTCTATCAGGACTAACCATAACACTCTAAACCATACAAACAGCCTCAAAGGGATAAACAAAACAAATTCCCACCTGGAGACAGATTTTCTGTTAATTTTGCTTGACCTAAATTTCAGGCAATCTCCCTTCAGTGGCAGATTTCTGCATATAAAGCTATCACTGTTCAAAGTGCTAACTTGCAGCTTCACAAGACTGCAGTTTCACTGGGAAGTGGGTATTTCCAGTCTTCTGAAAGATCCAGGAATCCCTTCTACTCTAAAAAGAGTTGTGTACTCAGCTGTGGAGAAGTGTGAAGCACAGCCCTAATTTCAGGCATTCCATTTTCCAGCATTTCTGACTTTCTGCTTAAATATCTGGGCTGCTGCAGGGCACTGCTGCCTGGGTGGAGAACCTTGTAAAAGGATGTTACGCAGATGTTCACATACCCGAGAGCCATGCCACTGAAGAACAAGGAAACAAGGATCAGGCAGACCAGGCTGCCAGAACTGAAATGGCTGCAGTGGACCTGGATTGGGAAGGTAAGGGCAAGCTGACCACAGCTCAGTGGGCCTGTGACACATCAGAACACCAAGGACGAGATGTAACATAGAGACAGGTTCATGATCAAGGGGTGGACCTGACCACTGAAGTCACTGAACAGGTGATCCAGGAATGTGAAACATGTACCACGACCAAGCAAGTCAGGTGGGTAAACCCCTCTGCTGTGGAGAACAGTGGCTGGGAAAGACAGTATGGGATTATTTTCTTGGGGGAACATAATCCACAATTTGAGTTTCATTTCATAGCCGTAGGTCAAAGTATTATAGCAGGAGCCACTAAATCTAACTGAAAATGAGCTCTGTAACAAAACCAGGCAAGACAAAACTGATTCCAGTGCCCAACAATGCAACACAACCTACCAGATCCTACTAAGGCTCTACTCCAAATTAACCCCACTTTACTATTCTTTATGCAAAGTACGTGAGTTTTCTCCAGAAACATGCACTAGACACTAGCATCCCCTCATTCTTACAAAGCACTAACTACAGCAAGATAACTATACTGATTTCAGATTTACACTACTGCAAATTTGAAAAGCAGGGTCATGTGTCTGATTTGTCTGAATGGTAGACTCTGTTCTCACATGCAATTTTATAGCAATGTCACTAAGATGAAACAACAGACTGTAAAGTCATTAAAACATGTAAATTATCGTATTGCTGGTGCTATAACATAGCACTTGATTATCACTAAAATTATTTGTGTTCTTGTGTGCTTGCACCTCTTATCTTGTTCACAGGAAATAAAAATTGTTCTTGCCAAGTACTTGATTTCAAAATCTCTTAGCATAGCTTGTTACTGAAAAATGGGGAGTGCATCTCAGAAGACTAAGAAAAGGAGACAGATTAATGATTAATAACTGTATCTGCAATTACATTTTATTAATGCAATTAATATTTTTAATAGAGAAAACTGAATTAAAAATTGCCTGGACACAAATCAGAAATTATTAACTACAAATTTCAGCAACTCAACTAACAGAAAGCTCAGCATTTTTTCAGTTTGTTACTTAATAGAGATTATGCTTTAGTTATTTATGTCAAGATAAACACATGAAAACACTCTGAATGTGTTTGAAATTAAAACACTCATGAAAACTGAAAATGACAAAGAGAAACAAGATGTGCAAGGTTTGCTGACTTCTACCTAATTGTAATATTTTACCCCCCTTTCCAGCACTGACCTCCTTTGCAATCTGCACAATGTTTTGCCTCCACTATATTACCTAAGAACTCCATTAACTAATGCAGCAGGTTAACTCATGAATGTTGGAGATGCTGCACATCCTTTCTCCTTCATCCTAGAAAATATAGTTTCTTTCAAAGCATATTTGGTCTTTGAAGATGTTCATGCAGACAGTGAAGTCTAGTAATAGGATTAAGTCTGCTCAACCAAAATGGCTATCAGCTCAGCAGACAGATTAATGAGATCATCTCACATGTTGCATGACATCTTCTGCCTTGCTAATTCCAAACAGCAACTTCTAAGACTAGGTTAAAACACTCTATAGGGTAAGAAACAACATGTAAAAATGTTGTATTTCCCAGGTAAACTAAAATCACACAGAACAATGTAAAGGTTATTATTGGTAAGTGAAGGGCTGATCCATAAGAGAGGGTAATAATCCCTTCCACGTCCCAGATACATTTCTTTGATTGACTTACCTTACCTGGAAGTAAGAAGATAAGAGTTAAACTGCTGAGGTAAACAAGTAAAACCAATACAAAGCACATGGGAAGGATGTTAAACACTTTGCTTCAAGAAACCAGTTAGCTGCTGCATCATACCCAATCTCTTTGTTGGAGAGGATCATAAATCACTTTTTATATGCTTCCTGCATTAAGCTAACAATTGCACTGCAGTCAACAGGCTCTCATCAGACCTGAGCAGCATAGCTGAATCTGCCAGGGACTAAGTCAGAGCCACTCTGGATGTACACATCAAAAGATACTGCTTCAGCTTGCACTGGTGGATGGAGAAGCTTACACCAAAAAAACAGTCCATCCATCAACCTCTTGTCAGACTTAAATCAAATAGCGTTCATTTATCCTAAACAATCTGATTGCATAAAGACGATCTGAGCATAAATGAAATTTACACCATGACAGCAGCAGAAAAGGTGTTTAATTACAATGAAAATAGAACTTAATCAAGCAGCAAGAACGCCACAAATTCCCATCTTACAGTGGTCTCACCAGGCACTTTACCATCAATAGATTGTACATGAAGCTTGTGACATTTCTGATTTTTACATTCCTGGAGGGAATTCCCTAGACAGTCCTAGGACTTACATAAGAATGACCTGAACTTTCCCTGTATGATCATTACCTGATCCTATTGCCCCATTAATTCAGATTCTATTAGAGAAAGCTCAACAGCAAGTCCCATGTTTAAATGGCCAGCTGAGTGTACTGAATACTGAAACCCATTGAGAACCAAAAGAGCTACTTACCCCACAGTACCGATCATCACTGAATATCTGTGGTGGCAGTGGATTGCCTTGTGCAGGCTGCCTATCCTCAGGAATATTTTTATACATCCATTGTCTCTTCTCCTCTGACATGGTGATATCCACTTCTTCGAACTCAATGCGATTGGCTTCTAGAAACCGCACCACATCCTGTTGCCTCTTCTTTATCTAGATGGAAGAAGGAAAATTAAAAAACCTAGAGTCAGAGTAAGTCCTCCATAACACAGACATGCTTACAAATCTGAGAACATTCCACCTCTCCCACCCCACTTTCATAGGATGGGAAGTCACAAACTCAGAAAGACGAAGGAGAAAATATTTTTTGGTAATTTCAGCCTTTACCCTCTAAAGATATTTTTAAAAAGCCAGCTGTAGGGGTCTCTTCAGAAGTAGAAGTTAAAAGAGTCAGTCAGTTTTCAAAGACATTAGAGGCTACATTTTTAAAGTATACAGGCACCTAAAAATGTGAGGTAAATAACCTGGAAAGTCCCAGAAAAATTTACTCCTAGAAGTGTTCATTGAGATGAACATGTCAGTACATCTGAAAACACCCATTCCAGGTACACACATTTTTGTTTTTCTAGACACCTACACATTTTTTAAAATGCAGCTCAACAGTTTCCTGAGCAAGGCTTGTTGAATATTTAGCCAAGAGTGTCTCTCAGCATAATACACATGACTGAAAGTAAGCATGATGTCAACTCTTGAAAATGAACTCTTTTGCAAAAAAAGAAAAACATGAGTTTTGTATTAAATGTATGAGGTTTCTGCCCCTCAAAGAAATTATCATCTTTATACGAAGAGGCAGAACACTGGCAGTTTTTATCTCATTGTAGTTAAGATGGATTGAACTCAATGATCTTAGAGGTCTTTTCCAACCTTAATAATTCTATGATATTAAGATCACTCCTTAAGAGCTAGCTGGGCTTCAAGAAGATACACTCAGGTAAAGACAACCTCTGCCTCAAATACGACTTTACATCAATACAGCAACCTTTGAAATGAAAGTCTGTGTACCTTTTGCATCAATCTAATGAAATTATTACTTTCAGAAAGAAACTATAAATTATGTGCCACATTTTTTACAGCTATCATTGCTGTAATCTGTTTGAAAGATATCATTGCTGTCTTTTGAAAAAAAATTCAGCTTTAATAATTTTACAGTATTCCTGGAGTGTCGTATCCATGCAGTTGCTGGCTGGCATAAAGCCCAGGTGGATGAATCATGCCTGTGGGTATCATATGACCTAGATACTATTTGGAAATCAGAGGATTTTCAAAATGAATGTGCTAGTTGCTCCTGTCATACAACCAAGTCTATCTATCTAAATTCATCACAAAAATGCATAATTTGGGAAGCGATATTTCCTTGAAATAAGGCAGCCATCCCAAGAAACTACACATCCAAAGCTTTGAAACAATTACTGTCTTTCTTAAGAAGTGGAGTGCACAGTAAATTTGTGTCACGGTCTCCTATTCCTTTTCCTTTATTTGCACACACTGATACAATTTTTTAGGCATATGTGAAAGAATCACTTTTTCATAAAGAAGGCGGCTCCTAAACTTGCATGCAAGTAATGCATTATCAACAACAGCATAATTACTGCATCATCATCACTGGTGGTACCAAAGGCAACACGCCTTTTACTACATCCCTAAAAATTCAAAGTGTAGAAAGACAAAAATATTTTCCTCTGTCTTTCAACAAAAAAAAAAAGCTGAAAAAGCACACAAAAGAGATAGATTGAGATGGTCTTAATGCAAATATTAAATATCTGGTTAAACAGAAAAGAGATGTCTAAATTATATGTGGGAGAGGTCATTTCCTTACAGTGAAATGCTGCTAAAACTCACATGAATTCCCTCCTGCACTGGTCAGAGCCATGAGCAAACTCCAGAGTGCCTGGCCCAGCCCTCTGGCCCCAAGGCCAATTAGCATCCTCCAGCCAAAGCTACTACACCTTCAGCCTCTCAAAGCTACTGCTTGCAAACTGCACACTGGGAATGATCCCTGGCATGCTGTAACATCTAAATCATGGCCACGGGCTGCCTGTGAGACTCTAAGTTAGCCTTGGCCAAAGCTGACTGTGCCAGCAATCATCCTTCAAACAGTTCCAGAGTACCAGAGTGCTCCATTCTCAGGGCCAGGAGATGCACCAGTACAGGTGTTTCCACATGGACCCATTTTCATCTGCTGTCTCCCAGCACCCTGTAAACTGAGCAACTTAGATTTAGTCAGATCCCTATTATTTCACAGTTCACACCATTAGAATTCTCCCACAAGCACAAGTTTCCTAATGCCTCATTTTATTTTTATAAACTAATTAAGATGTTGAAGTGAAGTAAATTGGAGTTTTTGGGTTTTTTTAGCCATAAGCCTTACAATTCTCCACATGACATCTGTATGAGTTATCAGCTGTGGATCTACCAGCTGCATAAACCTAAACAAAATAGCCTGAAAATTTCAAGCCAAAAAACTAGCATTTTCTCCTCCCCAATTTATTTGATTCAGGCCTTTAAACTGAAACAAGAGCATTAGTTGTATTTAAAATCCTATTAAATTATGCCTTGTTGTTTAAGATGGATGCTCAGAGCATCTGTCACAACAGAAGCCAGCTGATTATTCCCCAAGAAAACCACAGGACCTTTGTCTCTGTCTACAACTGGATCTGTGCCGCAGAAGTGCGTCAGCCTCACAATCCTGCCTGCAACTCTCATCTGTGCTCCCCCAGAGCCCTAAAAGCATTTGGCCACAGGAAACACCGAGAAAAGGCAACATGGCACAAAGAGCAGTGTCAGTCCTCGCTTCCTCACTAGCCTGTCCTGTCAAGAGCCCAGTGGAGAAAAATACATCCTCGTCTGACAAACTATGGAGGTGGATAATACTCTTTGTAAAGTATCTTGCTGCTACCAAGGTTTTCTCAAGTCTGATAATCCCATTTTCAGAGGTACCATGCTCAGAAAAATTTGGGTTGTGCCTATTCATACACCACTTTGGGAAAGCGTTTGTAGTCTTACATGACAGACTGCTTCAGCATCAAAATATTCTGGGTTTAATATCTTTCAGCACACCAAAAGTCACTGTAAAATACACCTTCAAAACATATATCCACTGTGAAGTTTCAGAGGAAAGTCTTTATGTAATATGATCCTAATCTATCTTTAAATGCAGTGAGAAAACTCTGATGGAGTTATCAGCAGTTATAGTCCAACATTTGCCTCCCCTATTTTTAGCTTGGTAATTCTTTTCTGAACATCATTTATCTGGGTTTGGTTTTATTGTTAATCTATATTTCTATTCACAAAACTAAGACAGGAAAAAAAATCCCCAGAGACAACTCAATTTTATCCTTGTATTCAGAGCCAGTATCTTTATTAGAATTAAAAAGCAGCAAAAATAGGATGCCCATTGTGATACATAAAACTGCTAAAATGAGCTAATCACTTAATCAGTAACCCAATTTATAAAGGAAGTCTATTGTAGCTAAAGTATTCTGTCTTTCTGTCCTAGTTTTCATTTCTTTATACTGATTTGCAACAGGTAACAGGAGGATGCATTTTCAGACCACTTTGGAGAAATATTTGGAAGACATACTCAGGCCAGTCCAGGTGGGACCACTGGGATTATCTGTTCTGACTATCAGCATCCCTGAATTAATTTCTTTTAGGAGCAAAGGGTTTCTTCAGACTTCTTTTCCCCTCTAAGCTCCATTCCTGAATTAATAATAACAGAGAGCTGGTCTTTGCAAATTGTTCCCATAATTAATTGACTGTCTTTACTTGAAATATTTGCTTGCTTCTGTTCAGAATCCACACCTCACTTCAGCCACCTCACTTTTCATGTCTTTGACCAGACTGAAAACTGTTCTGTTCTAAGATTTCTGTTTCCCACACAACTAATATCAGATCTCCCACCTAAGCTGAACAGTGATCTCTGGCAGCAAGAGAAATCATATTGCTCATTTAGTAGCCAAATGAGAATATGAGGATGTTACCATTATAAATCAGGTCCAGGTTGGAGCAGAAGTTTAGGAAAATCAGATAATATCCTCTAGCAAAGTTCCCTGGAAGCTTCTCATCACTTCCAACAAGTGACAGTTTCCTTCTTTTTTGCCCTGTCTATGGTTCCTGAACCTGCTTTCAGAAGTTCTCCTGTCCCAGAAAGGCTTCCCTACTGACAGCTGCTGAAAACCAGAGGAGCATAGCACGTGGTCTCTTCATTACTAAAAGTCAGCTGCATTTCATCATTTCTATACTATTTTAACAAAGATATTCAATATTTTGCAAAAATCTTGATAGTCCAGGATTTATCTAACCCAGATAGGATAAACAAATATTACTTCTACTCTACTATATCGAAGATGACTCAAGTTGCAATATTAATAGGAACTGTGCTATTATTAAAGATAACTTCTCTTTCTTTTTTCATTAGCCCAGATAATATAAATGGGACAAAGCAGACACAGTCTCAGTGTCAGATTTCTTCACAGTGTCAACAGCAGGAATATTGTCGAGTGTCTGGTGCTCACAGAGTGGACATGGAAGGTTGGTCTTCTGTAGACTCTACCTTCCACCTTCCGGAAATAAGGCACTCCCTGGGTTTTTGTCCTCCTGCCTGCAGGTGGAGGGAATGACAGCAGATGCATTGGCTGGTGACTGAGATGTGCAGCACTGACTGTTTTACAGGCTCATCCTCTTGGACCTGAAGGAACTGAAAGCCTAGCCTGAGCTGTCCACTTATTCCAGACAGATCCCAAGAACAAACAGCCAACTTTCTGACACAAAATCCCACCCCCAAAATATATTTGGACCACACATGGTGAGTGAGAACAAAGCCTTATGAGGTTATCTTCTAAGCTGGCTTGTCAGACCACAGGCACGTTTTAGAAGCCTGACATTTAAAAAACAAAAATTGAGTGCATGTTTAACTTCACCTTCTTACCAGGCTTGTTTCACAGCCTGGCATACCTGTGCCTCTAAAGGTGGAGATGGTCCTACTAATTTTCCTCCTTTTTTTAATTTGGTTACTCTTTCCACACACCTGCCCTCACTCCAGAACTGCATCAGCCGTGTTATGCACCCACTGACTCAGCCAAAAACTGAATGTATTGCATTTGGCAGGGACACCTTTATGGTGCAGTTTGATGATACAGCTCAGCAGATCTCAC